TATATAAATATTGTGGATCTATTGAATTGTCAAATATTTTGTACATAGAGTATGGAGTTATTATCTAGTTTTCCAATAATTTTATGCTAGTGTTCCGTCCTCCCAATAGTGAAGATTATGAATTTACATGGCTCTGAAGACAGAGATATGGGCACTGAAGGGCTCATTTATAAGTTACATATTTCTGCATGAGATAAATTTAGTAAAGTTAGAGTTGCTTGCTCGTTGAAGGGGACTTCATGACTTCATTTATTTATGAAATATATGAAACAAACATAAAAACATAAAGTAACAATAATTAACATAACAACTCAATTTCATCCCTAAAAAAAATTAAAAATTAAAAAAAAAAGAAAAAAGAAAAGAAAAGAAAGATACATGATGTAGACACAAATATACCAATCAAGCAGCTGGTATGTGTAATTCTTAGAGCTATTTTTATTGAGTTACATAATTAGAAGTAGTAATTTTATTTCTTTTTGTCTTTGGTCTTTTGAATGGCAGAAAGTACAAATTGCACCCATCTTCTCCTTCACTGTCATTTTTGGTACCGGAATCACACTAGCTGATTGGCTTTTCTTATCCTTATCTGACATTTTTCTCAACTGTCTTTCTCTCTCTCTCAATTGTATGTTGCGTTTTGCAGTGGTGCTTTTGAAGATGGAACGATGGGTATATTTATAGGCACGAAATTCTTTTTTTTTTTTTTTTTTTTTCTTTTAAACTTTTCATTGGCTTGGTTGTGTGTGTGTGGGTGTGGGTGTGGGTGTGGGTGTGGGTGTGTGAAACCAAGTTAATAGGTTTATTTATTGTATCAGTGTGTGTCTTTGAGAGAAATTTTTTTCTTTTTTTTGGAGGGGAGGGGGGGTTGGATTCAGTGATATTTTTATAAAATAATATCAGATTAATGAAAAAATTTAAGATTTTAATTATCAATAATTATAAAATTTATCATTAATCTTTTTTATTTTTTATTTTTTTATTTTTTTATTTTTTGAGAGAGCTAGTTGAAAGACCCACCTCGGTGTGGGTGTGGGTGTCTTAGGTGACTCCATTTCATGACAATAAAGAAATAACAAAACTTGAGAAAGATGCCTTGTCAACATGAATTTTTAATGAATAATAATAATTTTAACAGAAAAATTGCAGAGTTTGATTTTGTAAGATTAGGAGTTATATCCCTCTAAATTGATCCTATGTATCCTTGCTTCTTCTTTTTTTTTTTAAATAAACTTTTTTTTGGTGAGCAAAAAAAAAATATTAACAGAAAAATTAATACAAAATCATGTAAAATTTTAAAATGTGTTCACTTTAAAAAGTAAATGCCATATGATGTGTGATGGTGTGTATTATTAAATGAGGCCTATCTTGTGTGTTTGAGAAGCCTAGTTGAAAGGCCCACCCCAGTGTTAGTAGTGTTTGATGAGATAGAAGCCCATTTAAGAGATCCGCTTGAGGCGTGGGTGACTCAATTTTATATAATGACCAATCAAAAATAATTTAATTTTTTTTATAAAGAAAATGGCACCTTACTTACGCGGTCAATATGAATTTTCCATAAGTAATTCAATAATATACAAAATAATATAATAAATTTTAATTTTATCACTTTAAAATAAAAGGTCTATTATGTTTGCTTACATTTTCAAAAGTGTAATAATATATAAAAATAAATAAATAAATAATTATACAAAATTATATAACTTCTTGTGGTAGTTTCATTTCCAATAAAAAAAAAAACCATCTATTATCTCTATAATTTCAAAAATGTCACTAACATATTATTTTGGATATGTTTATTTTGGGTTGTTTTGAAAATTTGGTTAAAAATTGACTTTTTGATTTTTTTCTAAAAAATGTATAAAGAAGTAGAGAGATGATGTGATCTAAAATAGGTTTGGCTTTTAGCCATCTTCCCAATAAAATGCGCAATCTCACCACAAATTACTAAATTTTGGATATGTTTATTACGTTAATTTGTGACGAAATTATACATTTTATGATTAATATTACTAAATTTTATGATAAAGTTACACTATTTGCCAGAAGGTACATATGACACATACATTTGGAGGGGTATGTACAATAACATTTCTTTTATTTTAGAATGATAATGTGACAAAAAAACATTTGTGTAATTAAGACATTTCAATGGACCATGTGTTTTAGGGGTAATTACATCTCTGAATGTCAGAAAAAAATACAAATTTATGAAAAAATTTACAATTTTAATTATTAATATTTATAAAATTTCCCACTAATTTTAAATTACGTTTTCAAAATTCCACCAATTTTATATTTCCCCATTATTTTAAAGTGATATTCTCAAAACGCAACTAATACATTATGTACAAGTTTTGTGTTTGATTTATAATTTTATATATCACTACTCTTTTATAATTAGGGGGAAAATTTTTTGATATTCTTACGGAATTGATATACTTGTACCATAATAATGTAACTCTGGTTTTTAAAAAAATATTAGCTATCTTAATGGATCTTTTATTTTAAAATAATAGGATAAATTAGAAATACATTTTTTTTAGATTTGCTTAAAATATGGATCACTCCTTGTGATTTGAGAAATTACAAATACTCCCTTGTTAGAATTTTTCATTTAATAGAATTAACACACAAAAAAAATTCTAACTATTCTCTTATACAATAATAAAATTATTTAAATTATTAATTAAAATATATTTCTGACATCATTAAAAGCTATTAATAGATTTGATAATTTATTAATAAAATGAATCATTTGTTATGAGATTATAAACTTAAAGGGGCAAGATATAATTTCTAAAATTATAAAGGACAATACATATTTTAAGTAAATTTCAAAAGGTTTAAGATATATTTATAATATATCTAAAATAAAAAAGAAAAAACTTTTCATATAATTTTATATTAATTTTTTATGTACTTCTCGCCCGTTTGCACCACTAACTACCACCAGATTCGCCAATTGGCTCTAACTAGTCGAAAGTTTTATTTTTCCTGTTGGATTTTCATCTTTCTCACATGAGATATATTTTTGCATGAGATAAACGTGTTGTGAAAATTTCCATATATTTTTTTCCCTTGTGTAATTTGAAAATGGGCAACAAACCACAAATAACAAGTAATAATATGGTTGAAAAATTAAAGACACAAAATATCAAATTTACGTGGTTCAACAAAAATTTCTACATCCACGGATCTAACTCCAAATCAATTTCCACTATAAAATAATCAGATTACAATGGTTTAACTTTAGTCATAATTAGAGATATACAATCATCAAAATAATATTCTTGAATCACTAATCAACAATTATATCATCACCAATAGAGTGGGTTTCAACAAAATCAAATACAGATAAAATTTAAATCTCGCCAAAATAAATATCTCAAACTACCAATCCAAAAAAGTTTTGACAAGATCAACTCTGATTAAAATGTAAGACTTGCTTTCATGAACAACATGCTAAAATTTTATCAAAATTGAGCTAGAAACTCTAAACTTTTTATCCCTTTTTTCTCTTTTCTCCCGGCACTCTCTCTGCTTTGTTGCTGCTACTTATTCAAAATTAGAGGCAAAGGCTTCTTTTTTATCTTTTGTCTTCTTGGCACACCAAAAAACTTTCTGGAGAAGCATTCTAATTTATATAATAATAAAAGACGAGAAATATTTTGACTTAAATGAAAGTCTTTCGTGTGGCCCACTATAACGCCCCAACCTTTCACGCGTTATTGATATTGTCCGTTTTGGGCCACGCTTGCACGAATTTGTTCTTCCCAGCGGGTCATCCATCTCAGAATTACTCCAGCCTAAACATGCTTAACTGGAAAGTTCTGCTAGGGATCTCACCACCTGGTAAAAGACCTCGATGTTATATAAGAGTCCAGGTTTTTACTTTTATAGCCTAGGAACTCCTCTTTAATTCCCGATGTGGGACACCGGGACCTTACAATCCACCCCCTTTAGGGATACACATCCTCGTGCAGCAACCTACCAGCTCACAAACCCGTCCACATGCACCGAGAGACGCTAGAGGCCCATACTCGGTACTCCAGAGAGTCAGCTCTGATACCAAACTGTCACGTCCCAAAATTTGAACAATTAAACTATTACAAAAACAGTTAAAGATCACACTTTTTTTTTGTGTGATGTATGTTATTTAATCTCACCTTTTAAATTTTGTCAAAGTGTGATCTTTGGGAGTGTGATTAAAAAGGGTTACTTTTAATCACACTTTTTGAGTGTCATTGAAAGATGATTCCATCACACGTTTTAAGTGTAATTAATAACATTTAGATTACATCTTTTAAATGTGATTAATAATATTTAGATTACATCTTTTAAGTGTGATTAATAACTTTTAGATCACATCTTTTAAGTGTGATTAATATCTAATAGAACCTGTGATTATTAATGAGATAAGATCACACATTATATGCATTTCTCATCACAGTTAATACACACTATATATTATACTTTGAATCACAACCATATATTGAATGAAATAACGTCATATATTTCATAAATGAAAGTTAAATATTCGAAAGTATATACAAATGAACTAAATAAAAAGTTTTTAACTATGGTTACATATTTTAAAAAATGAAAAAACTTGAAAAGTAAGTTCTTGAATTCTTTGACCATATATTGCATCTCTCCAAGAAATTTCTAACTTGAAAAATGAAAACACAAATTAATTCAGAAACCACTAGAAGCATATAAATAAACTAATTATTTGTAGAGACTGTTCTTGATTTCTATATAATCTTTTGTAGTTGTGTGTTCACGTTAACTACTAGGCATGAGAATTGTAACTAAAAAAAATGAAAACAAGTGTCTCTACATTTGCAATAGGGCAGCTCTATTGCATGAACAATAGTGGCTTTTGCTAAAGCATAATACATTTGTTTAAAGCAATTAGCAATTGTACTCTGCTTGAGTAAAAGCCATAATTGTTCTGGCTATAATAGCAACCTAATAGCAAAGGACCACAAAGTATATAGATAACTGCACTCCTAAAAACATAGCTATAGTAAAGCATATACCAAAAGCAATACATTTGCGTTGTAAATACAGATTTTTCCAATCATTGGAATGAATCCTGCATCAAATTCCTAATTTACAGAGTTTCCATGCAACACAACACATGTGAAAAATAAACCAACAGAAACAACTATTCTGAAGGACACTGAAAAAATTAACATCAACTACCTTAAGTTTTTCCTGAACTGCACTGCAGAATTCATCTAATCCATTACCATTTATGGCAGAGATGCATACTGCGTCTTTTCTTTTCTCTGCTTCCAATTTGATTTTCAGAGGATCACTGGCTTTATCAATCTATTGTGAATAAATGTATTAGTAATCTTGTGGCTTCCCTATAACACAAGAGATGCTATGGCCATAATCAAGCACTTGTCACTAACAAAATATTGAATGGTCAACATCAACAAGTAGATTCACATTCCAGATAAACATCTCAAACTTGAAAAAGATCAGTTTTGTAGAAAACTAGTCGGAGTAACAAAGGCAGAACATCCTTCCCAAGTCTGGACAAAATGGTTTAAGTCTACTGTGCCACTCAATAAATGCTTCAAGTGGCAACCTATCACTTAATTTAAATTTGATAAATGAAATAAACACAAACACACACACACACACACACACACACACAAACAAAGGGTTTAGGGACATAAATCTTTAGTTTGACAATCATGAATATGCAGATAAAACACTCATTTTGCATCTCCACTTTCAAGTATGATATAAATTATTAGTAGCAATGATTGTCACATGTGCAACTTGAAGATGTAACAGAGCTTACCATTGTAGTTGGTAACTTTTGAATAAATCCAACAGAATCTGTAAGAAGAAACTCCTTCCCATTCTTCATCTGGATAGAGCCAACAGAACAACATATATGTGAGTTATACCTATAAAAAGGAAACTTTAAATCATAAGATATAGAGGGTACAATGTTGTCCAACAAAGCTAAAGATGGTGTTGCACGTAAATGAAATGGCTTTCAAAAAATGGAACCATTTTCCACATGACATTGATTACTATATTGAGTAACTGCTCTTATATAATCATCAAGGGGCAAGAAAAATACAAATGTGCATATATACTTGCCATACAACCAAGTCTTTTCAAGTACACCTTACTAACTTGTACCCTTCTAGTAGTCGGATCAAGTGTTCCAATTCATATTGATAATGAGAATTATTTGAGTCGGTTACAAATTTAACCAGAATCAATTTTTTAAAGAACTTTCTATCTCCTTTGAACTTTCAATTTTCTACGAGGTAGTTTTTGGTTTTCATTAAAAGTGTCATGTTTTAATTTCCTTAAGTTTGATCTTTAAGCATTTTTGTAGTAGTGAGTACAACTTAACATGCCTACCATCTAGCAACTAATTTGATTGTTATATATAATACTACTAATACTACTAATACTAATGCCCTGCCATTTTGATGACCAGTAGCAACACTACAATTTGTGCTCTGACACTACAATCTGTGCTCTGCCACTGCAATCAAGAGTCAGTGGTCTAAAAGTTTTAATTAACTAACATTCATCCAACAAGAAAAGAAAAGAGAGGAAGAAGAAGAAGCCGACATTCATAATTAACTAACATTAAGATTGCCAAGATTGAAAGCCAACCCAAATATAAAACAATTCTAATTTGATTATAAATAGATCAAACAGGAACCCATATAAATTAAATTCAAGTAAAATATAATATACTAAGATAAATTTCCTATATAAATAATTCACTTAAATTGGAACCATATACACAAATCTACCTTGTGAAACCCAAATTTCAATTCAAATCAAAGTGATAAAAAAAAAAAGAAAAAAAGAGCATACAGTTTAGCTCCCCCATCAAAAGGGTTTTGGGAGGGGTAGATTAGATATAGAGCTAACCTTATGGAAAAATTTGCAGAAAGTGGCTGGCTTCAAAGTATGAACCCACAACCTCAAGATTGATAGGCCAAGTTTTAAAGTCATAGTTCTAAATAGTTTATCAAATTTAAACTCATGTTCAAGTATTTAAGAGCAATTAGATTTGATATAAGCCTTTACCTGATCCACACCAAATTCGACCTTTTCGCAACACTACTTGGCATAATTTCCACATAGAATTTTGTTCTTTTCCTAATAAGAATCACGCACTAACAAAAATTACACAATTGTATTGAAAAAAGAAGGAGGAAGTGTAACGGCCCAAATTTTGATAATATAATACAACGATATACCAGGGTTTAACTAGCAGATACACATCATTTTTAAGCACAAAATACAAATAATTACACTAAAAGAGTTACAAATAAAATTCTTCAAGTCTTTAAATACAGATTAGTTCCTTGATACCAAAAAGATTATAAAAAATACAAGAATTATAAAATCTAATCTCTAAGGCAGCCATGGTTCCGCAAAGCTTTTAGGGGTTCCATTCTTGGTGTAAAACTCGCCTTCACCTGGCATAAAACGCGATGAGCTTGGAATGCCCAGTAAACACACACACCCCGACCCTTTTCTCATTCCAAGTACACAAGTAACATAACGGCAAGATCATAACATACAGCGGAACCAATAATTAAGCAGAGCTTATAATTAAATTTCAGTTCTCATGAATAATAGTCAATTTTAGTTAGTTCTAGGCAACTCCCCGTGGAATGCCATTCCTACCCAACCACTAACACTGACCATGGGCAATTCTGACTCCACCTTGGTTAGTACAATACCAATGCGTCGCTTACTACATAACCACCAGTGCGTCGCTTACCGCACAATTACCAATGATGCCCACCCACCTAGGTTACATACCCGAGTGGTGACATCACGTTCTACCCCAAGGGAATGAGCTTCCAGGGATACTCTCCCTGTGTGAGACCCTCACTGCCACCCTTATACCTCCCATTTCCGTTAAGTAGCCAGAATACCTCCCGTGCCATGTTAGGGTTCGAAAATACACTTGCGCAAGACTTCACAAAAATAGAACACATTCCACTATATCATACTCTTGAATCCATCGTTCATTATCTCATAAAATTTAATACAATGATCGCAACCCATTACCATCCTATTTGATTTCCCCCTTTATTAAGTGCATTATGTTCTCAGCTATAGCAAAACATGGTCAATATAATTACGAATCCAAACTAAACAACAAGTAATTTATTCATGGTAAAGAAAATTCATAATTTATCATAGATTACATATCAAGACTAAAACATTCAAGAAACATAGAATATAAGAGTTGCAAACCAAATAAGAGCATATAAGCACAAATTTCCAAATTTCCAGATTTGAACCAGTTTGAAAATAATTATGAAAAAAATATTTTTATTGGCCCTAAGTACTTGGCCTCGTGTGAGTTTGTAGATAAACAAGTCTAGTTTCAAACTCAATTTACGAAAGTAGGATAGGTATTTTAGATTTTAAGATAATTCAAAATTACCAAGATCGGTCCAGATTCGTTGACCGTTACGCAAATTGGTGTTTCTCTCGAACCCCTCACTCTCTTGAGTTCAAACAAATTTTAGTTAAAATATAACACCCAGATTAAGATTTTGACATAAAATTGGACTCAAGATTATTTTTTTGGAATTTTATAAAAATAGAGAAAGTTGACTGTTTTTCTGGTTCTGTGAGTAACAAACTTAGAAAAATTGTTTAGGTTATAAAAATACGTCCTTAGGTCCTACCAAAATTATCACATACTCTAGACATACCAAATATTACACCATAAAAACAGATTTTGAGTTTATGGAGCTTTGATAGGAAAATAAATTCAAGAGAGGGAAAAGATTTGCCGCTAGAAATTTAAGAAAAAAAAAGAAGCATACCATTTCTTGATTAATACACATTTATACAAGAGTGTAGGCCTAGACTACAATATATATATATATATATAAAGAGCATGTATTAGGAGGGGAAAAACAAGTGGTAAAAGTACTTGAGGGAAGAGGTGATGTATGTTTACCTTTGTTGTACAAGACTCAACAAAATTCTTCTTTTTCTTCTTCTCCTCTTTCTCTCTCTCTCCTTGTCACGACCCAAACCCGCCCCTATAGATTTGGCACCGTAACTGGCCAGTAATCCACGTATTACCAAAGGCCTCTGAACAGATTATCAAGTGATAAGGGGCTGCGGAAGCAATAATACAAAATAGACAAGGTCCAATGAGCTGTGACAACGTACATGGGACAGAACATTTTAAAACTTATTTATATATACATAAACATGCCAGTCAAGGACACCAATATTTACAAAATAATTACAGAAGTGAACTTCCCAAGATCTGACTATACAATGCAAACTCTAAGACTAGCATGAAATACAAAAACAGCCATGACATTAAACTTCGATCGGAATCTCCTCGGGGGGCATAAAGGTTGGCTGACAAAACAGTACAGAAGGTCGTCAACTCTGGCCCTAGTCATGTGCCGGCTCACCTATATACATAATATAAACTGTGAGCGGAAGCCTAGCGAATAATAACAGAGTAAAGGGGTTAAATGAATGATATCCAGCACAAGTTAGAATCCATCATTTAAATTAGAGCATAATCAGACTTCAAAATAGGAACAGATTCATATACATTTTCATATTCAGATTTTGCATAAGATCATACGTGGTACACCCATTAGCTATTAGATCAGATTGGTCCAGAGACCTACATATATAGTTGGTACCAACGACCACAAAGGTCCATATCTTGCGCGCAAGTAGCCATGGTATTGTTACCCCCAGGCAAGGGCCACGTGCAGATTGACCGCGGTATTGTTACCCCCAGGCGAGGGCCATGTGAACTAAGGGTGCCACAAATACTTTTCAGAAAATTGGACATTCATTCATTAGTAGTAAGATAGCATTTGAGAAAACAGATTATACCATACCAGTCAGAAAATACTTAGGTTAAACATAACTTTACGGAGTTATTACTAACAGTGGGCCTTGAGTCAGACAGACGGAGTAAACTTGGTCAAACGGTACGTGGCATGTGACCTATACAACACATAACAGATGCACACTTGAAACACACGTTCTAATTGTACAAAACTTATTTCATTGGCCCTTAGTGTGTTTCTAATTTCCTATCCTCATTATGGGGTCTAAAACATGGCCTAGGAATGCCTAGGATGGAATAAGGATGCAAGGATGCCTTGAAAAATATTTTTCAAAACTTGCTGAAAACAGGGGTCTCGCTCGAGTGTGGCTTTCTTCGCTCGAGCGAGCTTGTCAAAATAGAGGGGTCGCTCGAGCATAGACTCTTTTGCTCGAGTGGTCTGTAAAAATGTAAAAGTACTGGTTGTTGAAATTTTACGCTCGATGCCTACTCGATGCTCGCTCGAGCGTGAGACACAGCTCTTCGCTCGAGCGTAGGTCTCGTCGCTCGAGCGTGTGTCTGCGTGCACCAAAAACCTGAGAGCTTGCAATTTACCCTCGAGCCACCATTCCTTCGCTCGAGCGTAGCTCTGAACAAACGATGGTCCCTCGAGCGTGGAATCCTTCGCTCGAGCGAGGAAGCCAAATTCTAGAATTTCCAGATTTGCCTCCCAAGCTCAAACCAAGTATTCAACACCTCAAAACTCGACCTCTTGGGCCCATTTTCTGAAAAACACTTGTAAACTCATAGTATAAGGTGTTTCAATGATCAATTTGTAAAATCAAAGCCCAAGGGTGAGTCAATTGAACACAATTTCAAATAAAATCTCAAGAACAAAACTTGAATGTAACATGCAAGAATCTCCTTGAAACCAAACCCTCCAAAACATGATCGAACTTGATAATTTGATGGACAACAAGATAAATGGCCACAATGTGAGTGAAATTAATACATGCATGGAAGAAATCTAAGAATTCAAACTCAAAACATGGAAATGTATGCATGCATGCATGAATTACTACTCAATTCAACATTTAAATCAATTCTTGACTTTAATCTTCAATTTTACCATGGATCATGCAAGGTATAACTTAAATGCACAAACAAGAAGGTGATTTTCCTACCTTGGGTCTAGAATTCAAAGTCTAAGAGCTCAAATTTGCCAAGCGTCTTCAATTCTCCTATGTTCCAAGCCCAATCTCTAGATGAATTCAAGTTTCTCTCACTCTCCCTCTATCCCACGGTTTGGACAAGAAAAATGGCTAAGGACAGATGTTTCTAAGTGTAATGAAGTTGGTCTCAAATAAGTCACTAAGTGGCATTTGTGTAATAACCCAAACAAGTATAAATTAACATGATTTAATCTAATTTAGTCGCTCCGAACCGAATTTTAGTTAAACCTACCATAAAATTCTATAAATCCTAACTAGCACATAAATCAAGTCAATTTCTGATGCGAACGCCGATAAGGCTTCCACTTCGCAATTTCAAGTCAAAACATGAACAGATTAGTTTATGGCAAATAGATAAAAACACATAAATAATGCAATACACATGCAAATAAATCCCAAATCCTTCATAAATTACTGTTAAGCATAATTAATCATGAATTACCATTAATCGGAGGTCGGGGTCATTACAGTCTTCCCCCCTTAAAGGAGTTTGGTCCTCCAAACTCGAATTACCTTCATTCTGAATCAACATTGGGTCCAATGAGAACAATTCCGGACGTCTCTTCATCATGTCTTCCTCGGTTTCCCAAGTTGCGTAGGTTCCTCCGTGGTTTTTCCAATCAACTTTTACCAACGGTATTTCTTTATTTCACAACCTTTTGATTCGGCGATTCACAATCTGGATAGGTCTTTCCTCATAAGTGTAGTCATCTTTCAAAAGTACATATGTCGGTTCGATGGCGTGAAGTGGATCTCTCAGATATTCTTGTAGCATCGATACATGAAAGACGTTATGCATGTGTTCCATTACTGGAGGTAAGGCTACCCGATACGATACCGGATTGATCTTTTTGAGGACTTCATAAGGTCCAACATATCTTGGCGCCAATTTTCCTTTAACACCAAACCGAGTTTGACCCTTCATCGGGGTCACCTTTATAAACACATGGTCCCAACTTCATATTCCCAATCTCTTCTTCGGACTTCAGCATAGCTTTTCTGCCGATTCTGTGCAGTTTTCAGGCGTTACTGGATCAGTTTCACTTTCTCGGTTGTTTCTTGCACAAGTTCCAGTCCCAACAAAGGTCTAT